AAGTAGTAGCCTGAGGAGCTGAAAGCTGTGACTATGAACATTCACAGGTTCAACATTCAAGGCTTGCTTGAAAATGTTGGCCTTTCTTTGTTTCCCATCTTTTAAAGTATAATACTGCTTTTTAACTGCTAACAATTTTGTGCTCTCCTTAAGTAAAACCAGGCCTACAGCCAGAGTTATATAAAAAATGGACCATGAAGGCATGGTATTAAAAATAATTTGAAACAAACCCTGACTAGTGTAATAAAGAATTGGATGAATAAAAATTCGAAAGAAAAGGTTTAAATAAAGTATATGTAATTGTAAATGATGAAAATATGGAATGAGAAATCCTCCTCCAGGTCGAGGCAGGATTTCTCTTCCAAAGCAACAGATTGCAGCCAAGCACCCAGATAACAATCGCAAGCAGGCACATCAGCCCCGAAAGAATGGGCAGGACACGGGCCATCGAACGAACAAAAGAACGGGCCCGGACGAGATATCGCCGAGCCCGAGCATCTCCGCCCTGACCACCTGTGCTGGAGAAATGGAGAAACTAGACAAAGGAAGAGGAGACAGCCGAGATAGCCATCGGCTCCAGGATGGGTCCCACCACTCCACCCTAATGGCCCGGACCAAAATGATATCAAAAAGACATCCTGGACCTCTTTACATATGAGGAGCCTCTGCCCAACGTCTATTGACTCTATTCTCCGGTGCCAGGAAATCATTCTTCGGACAATCAAGAACCTCTTAGCAAAGGGTGCCTGCTTGGAATTTGGCCTCGGGACACAAACTTCCTATAAAAACCCAGGCCAAAGGACTCTCAGGCGTGGATTTGGGAGCACCTATACCTTGCGTATAGACCCTGTCCACCCAGCGCTGTGCTGCTTATTTTATTGTGGTTTTTTCTCTTTGTTCGAATTTATTATTGTTTGATAATAAATTTTCTCTTTTATATAACCCGAAATTGCCTTTGCATTTATAACACTAGTAACCCTGATTTTCATGTGTATTACATCTACGCCTACAGGATAAGTGAACATTAATTACTATAATAGCTATTTCTGAATACACTCTTATTCTGTAAACAGAATATTTGGTCTGTCTTTCCCTTCACTGTCTTTGAAAGCATGTATATGGATTGGTCATAAATCGTTCCACCTAAAGAAAAATGTTGTGGGGAAGTCTTTCAGCGTGTATGAAAGCTGTGGAATAAGATTTGCATCTGTCTTACTTGTGTTATAATGCAGCTCCAGTGTATTGACCTTCTGGCTCTGGGCAACGTAAAAGATGTCTAAGAGGCCGAAATAAAAGAGGCATGAAAATGTCTAAGAGGTTGAATTGCCTCTTAGATGAAAAACAGCAGCAGGGTCTCAAGCTGAAAACACATCACTAACGAATGATCAACTGTTCTCTGTTAATAGAAGCAGTAAGAAGATCCAACTGATACTTCTAATAGAAGTTCTCAGTTTGGCCTTTGGAATTTAGGTCACGCAGGATGAAGGCATGTTAAAAATGGAGAACTAATATATCTGCTTGGTACAGTGAGAAGGAAAAAATTAAATAAAAAATAATAATAGACTATGGGATCAAGGTAGGCTAACGGATTGAAAATTAGAAGTGTTGAGCACTGTGTGTTTTCTTCGGCGTAGATGGAATGAAAGCAATTTTGGAAGCTTAACAATTCTATTTCACTGATGTTCTTTGTAATTCAATGGGAGAAACACACCCCACTCCTCTTAAATTTTGAAGGCCTTAATAAATGATTATAAAGGATGCATACACATAAAGCAACAATTGCGGGCCTGGGTGCCTGGCAAAGGCCAGAGCACACACTTCCTTAACGAGTGGTCGTTTTATACTTTCAATAATCATTATTCAGGATGACTTCGCAAATTTCTTATTTTAGGCCGCTAACCACAATCCTGCTCTGGATTTCCACAGGCTTCACAGCTGCAGATGTCAGCAGTTTAGGATGGTCTCATGATGTTCTCTTCTGATACCTCTTGGAGCTCGGTATTTCTTTTGGAGTTTTTCTGCTACTTGCTTAGGCTATTTTGATTATACAATTTGCAGTGCCCAGCATACCTTAAAATTCATGTTTACAAGCAAGCTTCTACCATAGACCTTGCTTCCCCATTTTATGGTTTCCAGTTGTCATGGCCTGGGCAGTGGTCTGGATGCTGCAACCTTCCCAGAGAAGCATCCTTAGAAGAACACTCTCAGGTACACAGGCTCTTCCTGCCCTGCCAGAATGATCTCAGCTTTGAGCCCTGAAAAATGCAGCTGAGTGACTGCAGCTCTTCTAGCAACATCCAGGCAACATGGAAAGAGGAACAGGAGCCTAGAGTGATGTTCTGGTACTCTTGGTCCACAAACAAGGAGAACTCTAGCTACCACAAAGGTGTCAGGACAAAAGACTCCAAGTAGTCAGAGGGAAACAGAGGTTTATATAGGAACATCAGGACTAGTCAACTGAGGGTTCAGGGGAGGAGCAAAGGGGAAGGACCAATGGGGTACATAAAATTTACATGGGCCGCAAGGCATGCTGGGGGCAACTCCTTTTTTGCCCCAACAAAAGGAACTCATCTAGGAACTTTCCCTCCAAAGGAGAGTTGCAGGTTCTTTGTTAATCAGCCCACTGGCCTGCATAGCCAGTAAGCTATTACAAATTTTCCATATATACAACAATTAAAAACCTACAATAATTAATGTAAACAATTACAATCTTATAACTAAAACAGATAAATTGTAGCAGAAATCCAAGTATTACAATAACTAATTATAACATTCAAGCAAGTGTCTTTGCTGGTAATTTTTGCCAGATCCTCCTGAAACTTCAATAGTTAGATAAAATAATTCTGTTTTCTAAATTCTAATTTTTCTTTCTTCTTATTTCTTCCTCACTCTTCACAGGAGCAACAGTTAATTCTGAGCCAAAAATTAACTTTGGATGTTATAAGCAGTGGCATGTAGATGACTTGCAGAGGAACCTCTCCAGTGTGCCTTGAACTCATGGATCCCCTTTCCACATGCCTGGGGGAACCTGCCACAACTGCTGTCTAGTCCAGCTGCTTGGATTCCCTTTTGTTGGGTGTTATGGATGGGTCATGAGGTAATTGAGGTAGCTGAGGTAAAAATCATCTCACAGATGATTTTTGGTGTTAAAGAGGTTTATTAAGGTTTAAAGTTCTTTCAATATGTGACTGGTGTTTTAGTTTGGTTTTGGACCCCTTTTTGGACCGCTTTAATCCTCTCTTACCCCATCCATGTTGTTTCTATCAGACAACTCTGGTTGTCAATGTTGTCAGAGACAATTTAACTTGTAGCGTGGCAAGGGTGTGTATATGTGCCCCTTGCATGAGGTGGCTGGGGATGGGGGAAGCTTGCCATTGGCATGCTATCACCTCACCTCCAATCAAGTTGTAAGAAGGTCTCCACCAATGGATGATGAAGGAGGGTCAACTGGCAGACTTTGGGCAGAGCCAAAAAATATGTATGCTGATCATAAATATTCATGTAGCTCATGCAGGTGTATAAATGCCAGAGCCACCATTTTGTGCATGAGCCCCTAGGATAGAGTCACGCTCCTAGTACTGTGCTTTCTGTATTGTTATTTGGTTCGCAAATAAAACTTTTGTACCTCATTCCCACTCAGGGTCTGAGTCCAGTGTGCCTTGGAGTCATGGATCCCCTTTCCAAATGCCTGGGGGAACATGCCACAACTGCTGTCTAGTCCATGTGCCTGGATTCTCTTTTGTTGGGGTTTGGATACAGTTGGACCATGGCCATGGAAGTTGCAGTCTGATTCTTTAAATTATGCTTTGCTCCACTTTGCAACGAGATCTGTCCCAGTCTTGTCCATTAAATACATAAATTTGAGAAACAAATACACTCAACCTAGAGGTCATGCTCACCTCCATCTACTGAGATCTGCTGCCTTTTTGGTGTGTTGCATTATACAGGAGCACAAGGAGGAACTCTCACATTTTTCTAAGACAATATATTGAGTGCCCCAGTGCCAATGGACTGTAATGAAGAACGCAGTATCAGTAGTACTGCCACAAGGAATGTTTTTGCAAGCTTATAGTTTACAGGCAGTAAAAGAGGTAAAATAGAAGTGATTCAGGTACTTAACTGCAGTAGACACCTACACCTGTTAGAGAGACCAATCTGATTTTTATTTATGCCTCAACATGTTACACATTGTTGCTGCTGGAGAACAATAGGTCACACGGACACAGCTGGAGGTGTGGTGAAAGGAAAAGAGAGCTTTATTTCTTCTCTCATAATTTATAGGTTTCTGACCACAGCCAGGGATTGGATGGTCAGGATAACACTTTCTCACTGCACTGGCCGTGAGAGATGTCCATCACAAGACGTGTATCAGAAAGAATGTATACATGTCTATGTTTACAGTTACTGTCCTGGGAAAGTCTTTAGAAAACTAGGTCAGTAAGCTCAGAAGCTGAGTTTCCAGGGCAACAATACATGAAGTGAAAGATTCCTATAGGCTCTGTAAACTTGCTGGTAGCCCTTGGAGTCCCCTTGGAGACTCCTCCTGAAGTGTCAATCGAGGCAGAAAAAGCTTCCATGTTCAGGCTGCAAGCGACCCCCCACTTGCCATAAAAGCAGAGCCCCGGATGCCTGGGAAAAATGCCCACCGAATCTTATGGAAGAAGCCTCGGCAAGTAAAAGCCACACTGTGACTCAACTGAGCGTCATTTTTTTGGGGTTTCTTGGAGGGAGTAGGGACTCATCCGAAGGGTCCGCTCGGTCTCCTTCCTCCCATCGCCTTTCCCTCTCTGCAGTCCTGCTTCCCTGAGGGAGCTTGTCGCCGTGACAGCCCAGTACAATGCTGTTTCCCCGACTGAGCCGCCGCTGGCTGCACCAGCTGCGGCCGTCACTGCCACCGACATGTTTCCTGCGTTGCCCGCGGTAGCTGCCCCTGGCGGCCAGCCCGCTGCCAGCACCGCCGCAGCACCAGCCTGCAGCAGCGCCTCAGGCAGTGGCCCGCAGCCGCCGCGCCCTGACTTTGGCAACCCGCAGCTATTCCAGGACTGCGCCCGTAACCGCAGCAACCTGTTCTTCGGGAAGGCAGGGACATACAGCCGCCCACTGTTTGGAAATTGCGCCGGCCCGCTACAGGAGCCACGCAGACACATTGTAGCTTGCGACACACGTGTTCCATCTGCCGAGCCGACGCTAACAGAGAGGCCGGGGTGCAGCGGTAACGATCTGTTTCTGTCTTGTTTCTTTTTCAGTCTCTCTTTTCCCCTCTTGGCTCTCTTTTCTATCCCACTTTGGTAGGAACACTTACCCTTCTTTATCAGTAAGCAGTTCTCAGATAAAATACCGCTACATTCGCTCTTTATTTTTGTCAGAGAAATCTACTGAAAAAAGTCCTTTTTTTTTAGGATGTGTGAGTGAACAAGGATGAAAGCATCACAACAATGTTTTGAGAAGTTGTTTATGGGTTCTTCGGTTCCATGTTGTATCAAATCTGTCTTAAAAAATATCAGCTGCTTGAGCTGATAAAAATGCAAAAGTTATGGTACAGAACAAAGGACAGAGGTCACCTTATATCTATGCAATAGTTAAGTACTGGCCAAGAACAATTGTCTGCCGCTGAGGGGGTTTAAGTGCTTGGCTAGCATGATCATTTGTGCCTTTGTGCAGTCAAAGCAAATAACTTTATTTAGTTTTCAGAGAAATAATGTGTAATTTTATGCCGGTTTTCAAATTAATTGTATCATAAAACCTGCTTCCCTGGCTCCAACATTATTTTCTGTCTTTGCACATAAGCATTTAGTCTTGTAACACTGTAAACTGGGGGAAATTTTTCAGTAAAAATGGGGGAAAGAGGGGAGTCTGGCATAAATAATTTCTGATTTCAGACAGATCTGTAATGTGACGATTCTTATTGGGCACAATACAACCTGAAGTTATTACACAGGAAATTTAGATCTGCAAGTGCCTTGTGAAAATACAGTTAGAAACTATCTTCCAGACCAAGTAAGGAAAGGCAGAACTATTAGGGTAAGAGAATCCTCTTTGGAATAATACCTCAATAACACTGCTTGCTGATGAAATATGTGTTTAATGGTGATTATTGTTGTTGTGCTGCTTCCACCCTTCCCAACCCTCCCATCTTGAACCTTCTTTTTACTCCCAATTTTCCTTTTTAAGTAGTTCTCTTCTTTGATCCTAACATGTAGAAGAATTAAACAAGGCTCTCCAGGCTTCTAATAGATCAAACTCTGTAAAATGAACTGGATAATGGAAACAAAACTCTGTTTGAACAATAAACAAAGAGTTTTATGAATGTCAAAAGAAGATGAATTCTCAATTACCACAGCAGCCTGGCCATGAAACTAATAAGGGGAAAAGAAAATCCATCCTAGTGTAATAAATGGAATTGATTTGTGCTAACTAAATTGTAACTGTTATTAAAGTTACTATTAGAAGCAATCAAAAGAATCAGTATTACAAGACAGAATGCACCCCTTTACAGATGTTACATGTTAAAATTGAGGTACAGGATGTAGTTTGGAAGATAAGTGATGTCCCAAGATGAAAACGGCCTTGAGATGGACAAAATTAGAACGACTTTAGACATCAGGCCTAAAAATCAGTAAATATCAGACTAATTAGTAGACTTACATAACACAACACATAGTATGCACACGCAAACCTGTAAGGTTATCCAAAGGACAATGAGGAAGAGGAGAAGCCTTCGCCAAAAGACCACCAAAAGAAGACTGAAAACCCCCTAACAATAAGTGAAGCATGCACCGTAAAGAATAGTGAGGTAAAATCAGGAAAATCAGAAATAGGAGGAAACTTATAGGAAACATTAATGAATATGCGTAAGTATACAGTATATAAGTTTAGCTTGAAATACTTTGTTTTGTACATGAGGCAGGGCTGGAAGCCTCTTCACCCCGTTAGGTGTGAACAAGTAAACAAGGTGTTAGGTGGGTAACAAGCCCTCCCTGTACCCTGGTCAGTTTTGTTTATGCTTTAATCATACTTAATTACTAGCAAAATATAGATATATAAATTGTAATTTTTTTACTAAATTGTATTATTTTACTAAACTGTATTCTTTTATACCAAATTACTATTCAATTTACTAAATTGTATTCATTTTTAATTAAACTGTTATTAACTCAAAGGACCTAGTTGTCAAAATTCTAATTTCATTTATAACACTAGCATATGTAAGAGATGCTTTCGAGGTGTATGGTCCGAGACATGGCAGAGACCTCTATAGTTGAGTTAGACATTAGTAGCTTATTTCAGGGCATGGGAGAGAGAGAGAGCCTGCTAGGAGCCAGCAGATGAAGCTCGAAGCAGGCTTAGAGGGAACAATACAAAAGGGAGTAAAATATGAATACATGATTTCAAGACTTAAGATTGCTAAGAAAAAGAGTAACAGAACAGAAATGAGAGAGCCGGAAAAAGAGGATAAAAAAGAGAAGTAAAAAGAGCAGGAAAAAGAGCAGCAAGAGAACGTAGTAAGAGAGACAAGAGAAACAAGAAAGTGACGAGAGAGCTCTCCTTTACAATTGCTTATATAATCTATACATATGAATATTCTATTCTTTCACTAACCAATCTTTCTAAGTGTACTAATACAGTAACATTTGTGTGCGACCTATAGAAATCACTGTTTTTGCATATTTTTAGTTATCTCAGGGTCCTTCAGACCTTTCCTTATAAGGCTGGGGAGAGGGGTCTTAGCTTAGTTTTACTGGGGGAAAGAATGTGTTCTGGCATACCATATTGGTTTCTTTGAATTATTCAAACTGTGCTTTCATTTGTATTTCTTCCTTAGCCTTTCTGGCTAAGGAGTCATATTTATAATTTCTTTCTAATTCTACCTTCCCAACAGCATATCTCACTTTAATTGAACTCTATTATTTTTAAGTGCTGCCATAAATTTTGCCACATTTATAAATTCTGACTTCTTGTTTAAGTCTGATTGCAGATCGGGAGGTGCTATCTCCACACAGATTTCTATGGATTTATTCAGAATAAATTTGATATAGGAAAGGACTTTTATTTTTTGCATAGGCCAAAACAGATACAATACAAAGAAACCGGCAGTAAAAGAAAGCAGCTGCAGAACAACAGTATCAGTGAGCTTGGATTTCATGTGCTACAATTAAATTTTTCACTTTAATGTCTCTTTCTTTAGCATGTCATGGATGTGGTGATTTTTAGTTGATTAAGAGGAGGAGATGTGTAGATACGAATAATTTATGAAGCCCACTGGATCTGAGGTGTGTTAGGAGCTCATGAGCTCTTCTGCCTGAAGCCCAAGAAAGGCTATTTGTAGTATAACTCAATATATAAGGCAATATAAGGAAAAATACACAGTAAAAATCAATGTAAGTTGTCTTATTGGGAATTTTGTTCCATATATTGAAAACTTTGAATGTACAAAGATAACAGTTGTCCACAGGACAGTCCGAAGAAAATGTCATTCCTTTGAGTGTTTATGGTGCCTTCTAAGAGGAACGTGCCCTTTTTGTAACTTACTGAATCTCCACAGCACATGGAAAGACTGAGCTGTAGGAAATCGACTTTGGCCACTCCTGAAATGCAGTAGTCTCTTAAGAGTGTGTGACTGTATTGACAAATTTCACAGAGGAAATGGAGATAAGAGAGAAGAGATGGGGGAAGGGAGGGAGGTAGGGAAGAAGGGGGCCTGCAGGAGCTGCTGATCATTATCTGAGTAGAAATTTAATTATGGCACTGTCACTGTCACAGTTAATTTTATAAAATTTCTACCTGGTTGTTATTGATCCCAAGTGGACTCTGAATTTATTTTTTCTTTGGAAGAATCATAGAATCATTTAGGTTGGAAAGGACTTCAGAATCAGAGTTCAACCATTAACCTAATACTGCCATTTTCACCATCAAAGCACACAGTTTTACCAGCAAGCATATTAACTCACCCTTAGACCTTCTTTCATGATTGTGGGACACAAATAGTTGAAGAAATTTCTGGAGGGCATCAGGAATATCTTCTTGCTCCAAGCACTGGAATGAGCAGCTAGGGTGATGTATAGATAAATCACATTGTTAACCTGGAAGACATAGCTTTGGGATGTGGTAAGCAGTCAGATTTGTATTCAAAGGGATCTTGAAGATAATACTGTTCTAATACACTAACCATGGGTAGGGATAGTTTCCACCATACCAGGTTGCTCAAAACCCCATGCAACCTGATCTTGAACAGTTCAATGATGAGGCATCCACAGTTTCTCTGGACAATAGCTGTGGGGTCCATAAAACAGTTGGCTTCAATACCCTGAAAAGAAGGAGGAAGGAGTGCATTAGAGAACAGATCCTGGACTCCAAATTAGCTTATTTATCAATGACTTGGATGAATGGGCAGGTATGCCTCCTCAGTAAGCTCGCTGTTGCCACAAATCTGTGAGGAGTGACCAATACTCAAAGAGGGCTGTTAGCCCGTCAGAAGGACCTTGATATACTGAAGAGATGGACAGAGAAGAGCCATCTGAAATTCAACAAAGGCAAGTGCATTTGGGAAGGAATAACCCCCTGCACAAGCACAGGCTGGGAGTGACGTGCTGGAAAGCAGAGAAGGACCTGAGGGACCTGGTGGACAACAAGCTGTCCATGAACCAGCAGTGCCCTAGTGGCTGAGAAGGCCAATGGTGTCCTGGGGCACACTAGAATGAGCAATGTCAGCAGGTCAAGGGAGGTGATCCTGCCCTTCTCCTCAGCCCCAGTGGGGCACATCTGGAGTGCTGTGTCCAGTTCTGGGCTCCTCCAGTATAAGAGGGACATGGAGCTCCTGGAACATGTCTTGCAGAAGGCTATGAAGATGATGAAGAGACTGGAGCATCTCCCTTGTGAGGAAAGGTTTAGAGTTGGTCCTGTTTAGCCGTGAGAAGAGATGACTGAGCAGGACCGTCATCAATGTCTGTCAGTGTCTGCAGGGAGATGTTAGAGGATAGACTATGCTCTGCTCAGTGGTACTGAGCAACAGGACAAGAAGCAATGGGCAGAAACTGCAGGAAGTTCCACCTGAACATGAGGGAGAACTTTTTTACTATGCAGTGACCAAGCACTGTAACTGATTATTCAGAGAGGGTGTGGAGTCTCCCTCACTGGAGATAAAATTTAAGAACTCTAGACACAATCCATGTGCTCTGGAATGACCCTGCTTGCGTAGGAAGGTGGGACCAGATTGATGCACTGTGGTCCCTTCCTGACCCATTCTGTGATTCTGTGACTTCAGAAGAGCTTCATCTCAGCTTCTGCAGCAAAATAACAGCTGGGATAACATGGAAGTAGCTAGAGGGGAAGGTAGGTTAAGAGAAGAAGCAACCTTACCAGGAGATGTCTGTGTGGAGGGATGCAACCCACCACTACTTCTCTTACTTGTTTGCTTATGGATGAATGATACAGAGTAAACAAAACAGGATATCTGGTCTGTTCCTCTGAAGATTGGAAAAGGGCAAGATGTCCCAGTAGCTGTTCAAGGACTGGAATCTAGATGTCTCCATAGCAGACAGGGCTGTACATGTCTCTTCCAAAGAAGTGCCTTGCCCTGGGTAAGGGAGGTAGAACAGCAGACAGGTTGAGGGCTGGCAGCTGTTGCCAGAGCCATGAACCCAAGAGTACGCTCAGAGTTGACTATCTGGTGAGTCATGTCTTCCCAAGGCAATTGGCTGTACGGTGTAGAAATCTTCCATCTTTCTCTCTTGGGTTTCAAACGTGATACCATCTTTCCCTTCAATCAGTGATGAAAAAATAAGTTTTAGAGGTGTAACTGCAGGCTTGAGTAATGACTTTATATCCATCCTCATGTCCTGATATATTACCAGAAGAATAATGTAATTGAACATAATTTTGGAAACGTATCAGTGGGGTTAAAGGGAGACCAAACCTATTTTGCCTTGTGTGTGACTTCCAAAGAAACTCCACACATTGCAGAAATTTATTAGCAGGTTACAGCAGCTATGAAATGTGTTTCGAAGGAAAGCTAGCTGTATAATTATTTGGCTTTGATAAAACTGCTATTGGTGTCAACTGTCTAGCAACTAGTCAACTGTCTAATCTTAACACTGCATTGAAGCAGAATGTAGATGACTTTACATTTTCCTTTTTCTACAGCTTGAAATAGTGGTGCCAGTATTGCCTGATATTACTCTTAGCAGAAAAAATTGCTGCCTTGTTGTGAAGTGCCTCAGGGAGACAAAGAGTTCGTTTCAGATAAGCATTGTGAAAGGAGAGGAATGGCTGTGGGCCATCCTTGGCTGCTTTTTCTGGAAATTGCCTATCACTGCATATCAGGTCAAGATTTGTGGTCCAGGAGGAAGCATTTCCAACCTCTACCTCTTCCAACTTTGCTGTTAGCAGTTTTTTGTCCATCACATATTTAAATATACCATATTTAAATATAATGACAATCAAAATTAAGGTGCTACAGGATCACTGATTATATTTATGGGTAACTAAATAATATTGTACATGCATTCCTTAGTTTCACTTCTACATCTTACGATTAGTATTTTCATTTTCACGTGAATATCTTTGCTAGTTTAAAGAATAGCTGAAGAAAAATCTAAAGCACTGTCACATTCCTATTTCTTGATCTTTTGGTACTTAAAATTCTCTCACCAAACCCAGTAGTATACCAAAAGAAGAGTAAATATTACCAGAATAAATTGTAAAGAAAGACGATCAACTTAGGCTGCAACTGAGCTCAAAACATTCAGCAGCTTCTAAAAGTATAATAATTATAGTAAGAAAATATACAGAAAAATCTATTGTACAAGTGAATCTTTAGCCCCGTGTTAATGACCAAAGCCAAAGGCTAAGCTGGGCAGTAACTTTGTTGCTCTGCCAGGGGATTCCAGGGCTAGGGTTTTTTTGGTACAAAAACTGTTGAAGCACAACCATTGCAATGAGGTCACGGTAAAAAGGACTTGTAATCTTGTGTCCCGTAGATACCTTTTGATAGTGATTTTCTTTTTTAGTTATTTTTATTTTTGTTATGTCAGGCAATGTTGTAGACTGCAACCTCAGGATCATGTCCAGAGAAGCCACAGGGTTCTGGGGACCAGCATGGAACACCAACGAGATGGGCTTCTGTTCATGAAACCATTTATTCAGCATGGGAACAAACTCAGATCCAGAACAGAGAGCCGCAAACAGAGCCCGAGCAGGGTTTTTTGAGGGACAGAACTAGGGTGGAGTTCAGGGTCAGGGACCACTAGAAACGCAGCAAGGGAGAAACCCCCCAGGGACTCAAACCCAATCAGAACTCCTGGACTGCCCCTCACAAGGTGTTTGGGGGGGGTAACTTCATCCAGGGCTCACATGCCCATCCTCCAACACAGAGGGTCAAAATCCACACACATTTTTTCTCCCATACATAAGGATATTGCTTTCTTTCATTCTCTCTGCTTCAAGAGAGTTTCAAGGACATTAGCCTCTAATATTGCCACTTATACCAAAGGCTGGTTTGTGCAGACAGGCTTTTACTAAAATATCATGGCCACCTTCTGTTAAAATATTCTCTACACATACAGTTTTCTGCAGAGGAGCAGTACAGAAGGTATGCATTGGATTGTAGAGTTCCACTGCTGGCCTGTTTTGTGTGTTGGTTTTAAAGTAGACCTTAAACACAGGACGAACCAAGCTTTAAGGAGAAGATCTGTTCTACAAAGTCATTTGGTAAAAACCTGAAGAGTAAGCTGCTAAATTGTCTCAGCTGGTGTGTGATTGCCTTATAGTTTAGTACTACTTTGACTTTGGGATTTTTCTTATAATTTGTACTTCTTCTGTTCCATTTTCTGTTTTACAACATTTCTCACTTAACCACTAATTATTCAGAAATTTCTAGTGAGAATTCTTAAGAAGAAATTTTCATGCTGTCTAAAGGTTTAGTGGTTGTCATCCGAATAATCTTAAGTAGTGTGGAGTTGTGTTTTTTATATATACTTATATATGTCTTATAAAATAACAGAATTTTGTGGACATACCCTTAAGATGAAAACAGAGAGGATTAATGGAAACAAATTTATCACAGCATCGACCCCTAGGTGAAAACCCTGCAGTTTTTTGATACATTACAATGTTTTTTATTGTCACCTCTTGTTTTTCCTAATAGATGTGCTGAATACGTGCTGGTGTGAAACTCATTAGAAAGCTGGACTTTTCAAAGCTGCTCCCTTGGCTGGATCAAAGGTATGTAGCAATCAGTTGGTTCTGCTGTGATTCCTTTTATGTTCCCATGGTCCAGTAGTACCAAGTATGAGCAAATTATGCCTTGCCATGCTTTTATGGGTAATTTTCTTTTGGGTTTCTTTCACCACCAAAGGTAGCTCGCATTTTTTTTCCTTAAAAAAGTATTTCTGCTAAATTTTGTCAATCACTTTGTAATAATAGTACATAGTGATACTTTTGTGTAGCTTGCCATAGATGTGATCTAGCATAACAATATCTTGACATACACTAGAGTGTACACAATTACTTCCGCTGAGAGTTAGCGACCATGGGAAAAGCTTTTCCTAGAGAGATGAAGCTTAAAGATAGCCAGTGACTTCTGACTCTGGTTTAAAGCTGGGCTGTGTAATGCTAGATAAGCAGAGGAGCTACATCACCTTTTGTTGTGAGAACCTTTTATGAACCAGAAGGATTATACAGATATGCCTTAAAACCTGAGGACTGAAGGGATAGGTCAGAAGTACGAGTAGAAGAAAGGAAAATTACATGTTTTCAAGTTCCTCTTTTCCCTGAATTATTCATGCCTTCCAAAAGACTCGTTTCCACTTCTTGTGTTTGTTTCTTTGGTTATTAATGTTTTCTCTGCCCAAAGATATGCCTATGCCAATCTATTTGTCAGACTACTGGATTCAGTTTAAGGCTAGGAGTTCTTATATCAGTTGGTAGTTCTTGTGTTTCTTGTGCCACTATTACCTGATGCTGAAGTTTTGTAGTGGATACACTGTATTTTTGCCCACCTTGAAGTGAAGGGGTAGTTCATCTGGCAAACACCTCATTCTGCTGCCTTTTCTCCTGGAGCTTGCACTCATTGAAGCACTTACACATGCATCTTAAGTGGATCGTTAGCTAATCATTATCTTGAATTGGCAGATGGTAATTGCTGTATTAAAATTCTACATAACTTACTTGCCATGTAGAACTCAGCAGAATTATATGTTCCTCACCAGTGAGTTGATTAGAGATGCCTTAGGCATCATCTTTTCCAAGTTTTAAAAAATTATTCACTAAAGTTTTCATGTTAACTCAGAACAGGGCAAAGGTTGAAAACAAGACAGTTCTTGGAGCACACTCTATATATTCTGCATCTTTTTATGAGCCCAGTCTAACCTCTGCCTCCAATGATCCATACCTGAAAGAAGAAAAGGAGAAATACTATAATAAATCCACTTTCTCCAAGCAGGGTTTCTATTTCTTGTAAAAGAAGATGTAAATGAGAAATTAAAAGCCAGAGTTGCTGAGCTGTTGATCTTGCCAGCAATGGAATGGCAAGGGTACCATACATTTGCATATGTCATGATTTTAGCATGGTAGAGGTGGAGATGTTGTCTAGCAGAGGTGCAGAGTATTTCCAGTACAAAAAAAGACAAATTACATACCCTAAGCCTGCAAAAGTACTCGGCTCTTAGTGAATCTCCTTCTACACTGGGGATTTTGCTATTCATACTTGGGCTGCTGTGTTCTCTCAGCCACCAGTGGGTGGCTAATTGAAAACATTGTATGGACAGTGTCCTCTCAAAAGAACAGTAATTCCTCTCAAAAGTACAGGAATTGCAGTGGCCTAAACAGCCCCTTTTGCAAAATATTTGAGGGGAGAGACAGAAGGTGGTGCAGGCTTTTAGTGGTCACCACTCTTTACATAGCAGATTGCACCAATTTTAGTGAAGAAGTGCTGGTCTTGCTCAGCTTTCCATGTTATGAGGAAGTCTTTGGTTAGGGTCCATTAGTAGAGCCAGAGAAGAAATTTTATGGCTTTGTTTTCCATAGCCTCGGGTCCAGCTGGGTTTTGAGAACTGACCTAGTCTTCTTGGTGTTTTTCTATGATAGATGGGAAAGATGTCTGCCAAATCAGTGAACAGCTGGGATGGACACATGCACTGGAAGTTGCCACAGGAACATGTATACTGGGATGAGAAGATGCCTGTGTGAGCCTGCGTACAGAGCAGTCTGAGGAATTTCTGTTGTGTTGATTGGTTTATATTTGTAAATTAAAAACCCAATCCCTGCCTTAAAGGCTTTGCAACCTCAAATTCTATGTTGAATTTTGAGCTCTTTGCCTCAAGAAAGACACTGAGGTGCTGGAACGTGCCCAGGGAAGGACGATGGAGCTGGGTAAGTGTCTGGAGCACATGATAGGTGAGGAATGGCTGAGGGAGGTGGGGGTGTTCAGTCTGGAGAAAAGGAGGTTTGGGGGAGAGGAATGGAAAGTTGTAGCCAGGTGGAAGGAAGTTGGTCTCTTCCTTTGGGTAACATGTGATAGGACAAGAAGAAATGGCCTCAAATTGTACCAGGGAGGTTTAGATTGGATATTAAGATAAATTTCTTCACAGGAAGTAATTGGAATTGGAACAGGCTGCCCAGGGAAAGGGTGAACCCTCCCTGGAAGTGTTCAGAAAACATCTAGGTGTGGCATTTAGTGAGCGACATGGTTTAAAGATGAAGATGGAAGTGCTGGATTGTTGGACTGGTGACCTTTTCCAACTTAAATGATAAGAAGATTCTTAATACTACTGAAATATACCTAGTGAAATACCTAGAAAAATACCTAGTGGAATAAAATAAAGGAGTCACTGGGTAGGCAGTGGGACTGGAGATGTTGGCTGTAAATGCAAGGCGGTGGAAAGAGAAGTTGAAGGATCCTCCTCCTATGGTCTACAGTCATTTGGAGACTAATAAGTGTTCCTCATTTTAAAAGCAGAGTGAAGAATTCACTTTTGGTTGTTACTCACATTAGAGAGGTTTTGAGAAAATTACAACAATTTTGCACTAGAAAATCTGATGTACTCTAAAAGAAGCCTCTTTTGCCATTTACAGTTCACTAAGATGTAATGATGTTCACAACAAAAGTGATGCCACAAGCGCAAGATAATGATGAATTATGAAGCAATATGAGCAACTTACTAATTGAAAATGGGCCTTACTGAAGCCAACAGACAAAGGAGGGTGGACTGCTTTCTATTCAAACCAAAATCAATTCTTGATAGTCATGTAAAATCAATGATCAGTGTCTCTGCAGCTATGTGCTGAGATTAGTCAATGATTACTTCACTGGAGGAGCTTTTGGAGTAAGCATTGTTAAATCACATAGACTTGTATAGGTATTTCTTTCTGCAATGCTGTGCTGAAGGTAAACGTACTGATCACTTCCCTTTCCTTCCATGCAGCTTGTGTGGTATGTTAAATAAATTAATGGTGTTCCTGGTTACTGCTGCCAGCTGGTAGGGTCACTTTTGCTGAAGAGGTGATTTATATCACCAGGTTCAGCATTTTCTTGATGGTTCTTGACAAAGATTGTCAAGTAGCTATTCCTATGAACAACTGGATGAAAGAAGCTGCTTATGGACCTTCATCCTTGCCTTCTTCCAAGAGAACATAAACCTGAATTTTTCTTACCCACATATTAGGAGTAACAGTAGATTTAGCTGTTTAAATGTACAGACATCAGTAGCTTCAAAATGAGGAACTGCTAAATTTACTTTCATCCATAAAATCTGTCTCATTTTTTGTTGTTGTTATTTAATTTGTTATTGGATATATATTGAAAAAGTTCATGGCTGATAATCTGATGAAATGATTCTTATGTGTAGAAAACTCTACCTGAGTAAGGAGCTGAAGGTGTCTATGTGAACTGAATTCAAATAGTTCAAGCTTTAAGCACACCCAACAAGTATATCTTAAAGGGTATTGTGTGCTCATCAATGTCCGAATAGATAGATTCTCTGGTGTAAGCAATTGAATGAAGGAAGTCTTGTAAGAAATGAAACAACTACAGTAGAGAAAAACACTGCTTATTTTACTATGACATCCACATTTTGGAGCCTGAGCTGAGGACAGAATCGGTCCATATATAGTTCACTTGCAGAGAGGACAAGAGAGGAAGGCATTACACTAAAGCATTAATCTGTTAATTTACAGCTACAGTGAGATCAGTCTCTCACTGTACTAATGTACCACTTCTTCCTGTCTGCACCTCAGATTGGCTCATCCAAGCTTTGAATTTGAGAGTGAAATACCAAATAAGTGAAATACTACTTGTTCAAGGTTTTTCTGGAGGACTTAGTTTGAAATATTTAAGCACTACAGTTTTCTGACCTAAATGAACAGTGTAAGAGGCTCAGAAGTCTCCTTTACCTTTGCTGTTCTTTTTGTTTTTTGTGGTTTTTTCTGTTGTTGTTTTCTTTTTGTTCTTTTTTTTTTGGTTTTTTGTTACCACCTGGAGAAAACTTAATGTAATAGTGAAATGTGCTATAATCTGTCTTTCAGAGGTCCCATTCAGAAGTTTATCTTCCTCTTCTTTAGCATTTAAGCCTGACCACTACTTCCTGAGGAATTTAAAAAGGAAATGTTGAGATGTTTATAGTTTAAGTGCATATAGATGTCAAATTCCTTTGTGAATGATATTCAACAGTGTTAATGAGGGGGAAAGGTCCTATGGTAGATATTGAGGAAGATCAAGATTTGGTTTTTTATTCCTCTTTTTTCATGTTTCCTTAAAGTGGTTGAAAAATACATCTAAGAAAACTTCTGTCCTAGTTTAGGGCAAATTTGGGAGGAAAACTCCAAATGGGGGTTTCCCGAGGGAAATGCCCCCTCCCCACCAACTGGTCCGGGAAAGGAAAAAAATTCCTTGGAGAGAAGTGGAAAAAGCTGTTTATTTAACAGAAATTGAATAATATTAAATAATAAAACCTCTCGCTGTTGGATGGGATGGCAAATCTAGGAAGAAAAGTCTTTTTTCATGTGGTGTAGCTCAGCTCGCTCAGGTTCTTATCAGTCCCTCCGGCGCTGGAAAAGTGCCGAGGCCCAGGCCCCGGTGGGCCACAGGCGTGAGCTCCCGGGGTTTGGCTGGGTGTTCAGTCTAGAACAGGCTTGCACAGATCCAAGAAAATAGGAAAAAAACAAAGGTCCAGGGAACTCCTCTGCCTCAGCTAGCTAAAACTAACTAAAAGCCAGAGAGAAGCTCTGTTCCACCGTCTGTCCATGCTGCAGACACCACAATCCAGGAGCAAGATGTGTGGGAGTGATGTTTTTCTTTAACACAAACTGCGCGCTTCTTCCCCCCACTCTCGCTCTCAGAGCTAGTCTTAAAGGTGCAGAACTTAATAGATAACATAAACCAGACGATTGGGGATACCAGTATCATAAAGTCACCCCAGGACTACTTCCCTCTAAACTTAAAGGGAACAAATTTAGGAGCAGGATAGTGTGGAGTTTTAATATGAGTGCATAGTCTAAAATAAAATATATTTTAAGCAGAGATCTGGAAAGCATTTTTTTTTTGTTTTGTTTTCTCCAGAGTTAAGTATGTCTCAAAAGGACCGATGCAAATTCCTGGTAATGTTCCGGCAATTATAATAGGGGTAATTCAGATGCAATTTTTGTGTCAAGAGCTCTTGGGACTGCAGCTGGAGGCAAGCTTTTGTCTTATAGGTGTTTGCTGGGGAATCCAATTTGCCAGGCTTTGAAGAACTGCTATGATGAAATGCTGTGATGACTGATGACTTTAAGCTAGTGTACTGCAGTTAATGAAGAACCAAGAAATTACTTATTTGTTATGAACAGAGATGATCCTAGAAGAGAAAAATGAACAATACCAGCTCAGTATTAACCTCTTGTCTCACTTTTCTCCACCAAAAAATAAAGGTTGCTATTTTTTCTTTTTCTTAGCCTTTAGTTGAGAATGCACCAAGAGAACATCAGGTTACCATGGAAAGGCTTCAACATGAATAAGTATGACACTATTGATTACTCAGATTTTCAAAAATGGTGACATCTGCTAGTTACAATGTTTGTTCCTCTGAATTTCTTGCCATACTCAGCCAACTCAGTTAATTGTGTGTGAGCAATAATTGTAGAACTGGGCCAAACTGTGATGCTTGCAATATTTTGGAGATGTAGGTGGAAGTTGTCTAGCTGATGGGATGAGGTTGCACAAGGGTGCTGCTTTCTGCTTTGATGAAGGTGTCACTTTGAAGGCTGCCTTTAAGTGTGATTCATCCAAAGCATTTCTATTTTATTTCTGTCTGCAAAGACTTTGGATGCTAAGCAAAAAGTGTTTTTAAGCCTGAACAGGTTTTGTTGATACACAGAATGGGGACAGTAGAGAATGGAAATATAAGCATGCCACAACTGAAATGTGTGTGAAAAACGAGGTTCACATATTTTTTACAGAGTTTAAAAGTTTGATAGAAAGACAATTAGGAGATTAAAATAAAGTATACAGATACGGCCAGTTGTCTCTGCATTCAGCTAAGAGAGCACACCTTACTAACAAAGGATTGTCCCTTAAAAACAGAACCCTGCTACATATCTATAAATTCTCATACATATTCATACATTCTTCTTAAGTATTTTGATGTCCCTTTGTTTAGTTTTTACCTTGCCCCCTTCCCAATAGATCAATCTTCTTGGATCCACTGGGTTTTCTATCTTCTGATAAGGATGCAATAAATCTTTCTGTTGGAGGTCTTGGAGGACCAGATAATCTTAAGAATGCAGGAGGGTCTCTGATTTTCAGTCTCTGGGTTATATAAACAAAAAGTAGTTTGTGCTTTAATATGTTATAGCCTAATATATATATGTATTATACTACTATTTCTAAATTTCATCAATAACAGAAATAAAAGAAACTATACTAATACAACAAAGTTTTCTAACCTTATACATAACATTCATTATAATATTTGTGAAAAGCCAGTAATATAATATGAACTGGTAACGTGTAAACAAGCAACTGAGATCCTGAACTGTTTCACTGATTATGTGTTTTAGTACTCTTTGCTTTGAATGAAATTCACTTGGCACTCAGAGTCCGTAGCACAGAGTTTTGTCGTGCTAGATGCATCTATTTAATGACTCATACTTTCCTTATGTGCTGTATCAAAAGGGGGAAAATATATAGAATAGAAGGGAAAAAAAAAAATTTAAAAATTGTTTTTATAAAAAATTATTATAGGATAGAAAAGAAAGGAGGATTTAAAAAATGGAAAGAAGAAACCTGGCATTTCTTAGTTGGCTATTCATGTTTTAATCCTCTTTAAAACACATGTGACCTCAGCTGGAAAACCTCTCACATTTTTTCAATCTGTTGTAAAGCATTGATCTTAGTGATA